TGCCCAGCAGAGAGCTGGATATGGGGCTCAATCTTACAACTCTGAAATCATGACCTGAGCTGAAATCAAAAGTTGTTCACTCAACCAACTGAGTCACCCAGGCACCCCTAGTTGTTTAATTTCTGATATGTGGGATTTCCCAAATTACATTGTTTATTGATTTCTATTTTGATTCCATCATGGCTGAAGGAAGTATTTTGTATGATATAAATCTTTTCAAAAAATTTTTAAAGACTTTATTTATTTGAGAGAGAGAGAGTGAGTGAGAGAGAGCAGGAGTGAGGGAGGGGAGGGGCAGAGGGAAAGGGAGAAGCACACTACATGCTGAGCAGGGAGCCTGACTGGGGACTGGATCCCAGGACCCTGGGATCATGGCCTGAGCCGAAGGCAGATGCTTAACCGACTGAGCCACCCAGGTGTCCCTCATTCCAAAATTTAAATGAGGAATTTATATAGAACTTTAGGAGAGCCTATGTTTTGAGTCCCTTATGCTTAGTCTGATCTGCTGTTCTATGGTCCTTTCTACAGCATGGTTGGTAAAAATAGGACAAATTTTAGAGTTACACAGTACTTGCCCCTCTACTTTCTCTAAATGATCTTGTTTTGACAATAAAAGTTGCATGTGGAAGCACCTATGGCTGGAGACGAGAGTGCAGGAAGAATGGTGGTTCCCTTTTAAATTTCCTCTGTCTTGCTGATACCAAGGCCAGATATGGTGATGAGAAAAACAGGGAGTAGAGGAGTCAGGACAGGGGTATGTGTAGGGTTGGAAGGAGAACCAGGAAAGGTAATATCTAGTTTACTTGGATCCATGTGGTATATGTTCTGGTCTCAGGGATTGGAAACTTTTGGGGAGAAGTGGAAGCAGTGAGCTTGGGCTGAAGGTTCCTGTGTGCCTTCATCCTACTGGAGACTAGACCTGTAGAGAAAATCTATGTAAAATAGCATCGCTAGCAGGAGGGAGAGGAAGGATGATCTTTGAGTCACTTTAACAGCTCAATGGAACAGAAAGGGACTATGGATTATAAATTAATACCCAGACCAAGGAACTTAGGAAGGTAATTAAAATACTGCACTAAGACTTCTGCTTTCTTTTGTGGCATATGAAGAGCTTAGAAGTCTTGCTTTGTCCTAACAGCAGCTTTTACAGCTGAACAAACTTAAAAATCAACAACTGTTCTTAGCTCTGTCAGAGAACTGAAATCATAGGAAAAACTATTGCCCCCAAAATAGAAGAGGCATATGGGCAGATACAGAGAATCCCAACTTACCTAAATGGAAATTCATGAGGAGCACCTTATCTAGGTATGTTTATTTCAGTTACTCTGTTTCCTTAACTTGCTCAGCTTATATATATATATATATATCTCAGATATCATCTCTTCTGAAGGCAGGGTCATTTCTGCTTGTTTGCTAATGTATCTCCAACTTCTAGAAGAGGCATGTAGAAGGCATTTAAAATACATTTTTGAGCAATTGAAGGAACAAAGAAAGGAAACTAAATTTCAGGGACATCTGTTTCCGTGTTGTATGAATCTGGACCTCCAGGTGTGCATATTCAAGGAATTCTTGGCCAAAGGCTTCCACACTCTTAGAGGCATCAGAAAAGCCTGTCACAGAAAACATTCACAAAACTGCTCCAAACCCCTTTCTTCTTCTTCCTGTAACCAAGCACAATTCCAGTTAAGAAAATAGAGTGGCTGACATCTATCTCCGTACAGATTGAAACTGTGTCTTGAAGTCTCAGTCAAAATCCCTGAAGAATGCAAAATCACCTCACAAAATCCCATCTTAGAAGGTTTACTTTAGAATACTAGGAATGGAAATGCTGGGTAATAAACTCACCTGACAACAAAGTTCTTTAGGCACCACACGCTGAGAAGACAGTACTGTGGAATCAAAAGATAGAGAACCTTGGGATTTACTGGTAATGAGGTACTGTGCTCTGCTGCTAGGGAAGCTGTCCTCCGTGTGACTAAGGACAGATGGCCTGGATGCCGCTAAGCACCCAGCCCTAACTGTTGGGTGATTTTCTTACTGACTGAGAAGTAGCTCAGTACCTCTTTGGGAAACAAAAAGATCCTAGCATCTGATATGTTACTGAATAAAAGCCCTCTTCCTGGAAAAAATCCTATTGCTTTTGGGAGCTTAGTGCTCTGTGTTTTGTAACTTAAAATTTTTTTTTAAAATGTCATTTGTTATATTTTTTTCTTAGTTAGCTCTGAAAAGACCTCACATTAACTATCTGGAGAGAAATATGGAAGCTTGTTTTATAACTATTTTGTGTTAGGAAGTTTTTTTTTTGGTTAATTAACATGCCTTATAAATAATTAAACATGTAGAAGACAGGGGATCTTTACTCTTGGCCTGTATTGTTACTAATTATTGATGGGATCTTGGGTGATTACCTTGTCCATTTGAAAACTTTGTTTCCTTTTTTTTTTAAAGACTTTATTTATTTATTTGACAGAGAGAGAGAGAGAGAGCACAAGCAGGTAGAGCGGCAGGCAGAGGGAGAAGCAGATTCCCCGCTGAGCAGAGAGCCCGACATGGGCCTTAATCCCAGGACCCTGGGATTGTGACCTGAGCCAAAGGTAGATACTTAGCTGACCGAGCCACCCAGGTACCCCCAAAGCTTTTTTTCTTAATCTGTAAAATGTGGGAATTAGGTAGCTCTAAGCCCCTCTGATAATTGCTCTTTTTATGAAACATGTAATTTTCCTCAGTTTTTTTTTGGTTTTTCAGAAATACTGTGGTTAATATATATTTAAAAAGCAAATCACGTTAAATGGTGAACACAAGAAATACAACTAAGTTAAAAAGGGGACAGTGCTGGCATTTAATATTTAACATTAAGTAAATATTGGATTTATACATTACTAATATTATGCTTGGTGGACTTCACCTTTATCATGGAAGAACTTTTTTTTTTTTTTAAGATTTTATTTATTAACTTGAGAGAGAGAGAGCATGAGCTGGGGAGAGGGGCAGAGGGAGAGGGAGAAGCAGACTCCCCACTGAGCAGAGAGCCCGATGCGGGGCTTAATCCCAGGACCCTGGGATCATGACCTGAGCCGAAGGCAGACGCTTAACTAACTGAGCCACCCAGGCATCCCTAGGAAGAACTTTTAAAATATTTAAAAGAAAATACTATAAAATCAGATTTAAACCCAAGTCATGGTAAATTTCTTTGTCTTATTTCACATTTCAGGGAGAGATTAATTACAAGGATCTTGGCCTACACCAGAGATTTAAAAATTCTATACAATAAAATGCCAATCAATAAAATAAAAAGAAATAATGAAATTAAAAAAAATCATTTTGCCACCATATGGTAATTGATTCAGACAAGAATGATCAATGGCTGCTAAAATTTGGGTGAAAGTTTTATAACAGTATTTAAACAGTTCCAAAATTTCTCCCTAGAATTTATTTACTAATTTCAAAGGAAAAATAGTGACCATTGGAGAAGGATCCCATTTTAGCCAAGTTTTCAAAGCTAACCTGACTAGTACTGAAACAACTGATAGCTATTGGTTATTCTTGCCAAAAAGGCATGACCTGAATCTAACGACAAAGCTTCTTAAAAAACCAAATTAAGGGACATTCTGTAAAAGTGACCATCCTTTTCAAAAATGTCAATGTCATTGAAACATCACCTGTTTATAGAATGTCCTTTTTCTTTGGAATTGTATTTAAAGACGTTAGAGGTAAAGAGACAAGTTATCTATGGTAAACTCTTAAATGATTATATATCTGAGGGGAATGGTGAAACAAAGGTGATACAATGTTAACAATTGGTGAATCTGGTTGAAGGCTATATGGGAATTATGTTTTACTATGCTTGCAACTTTTTTGTAAGTGTGAACTTCTTAAAAATAAAAATAGCACCTACACCCACACCTTCCAAATAGATATGTTATTCACTTGTTTATTAAAGGTATTTATTCTACCTTTGATATCTACATTTACATTGTAGGTCTTGATATTTAGTTAATCATCAAGTGATACTGGTCCAAATATCCAATTTTATCTAAACTCTATTTAATTGAAATTTTACAATGGACACAATCTAAAATCTCTATCTTTTGATAAATATTGGAAGAGATTAATTTAGTAACTTGTTTTGGAAAGATTAGAGAGAACATATTTGGATCAATTGTCACATTAAAAAGGATAAATATATGTAATAATTTTTTTGTTTGAAATGAAATTTACCTTTATTTGTGCATTGTCTCAGTGAATTCTGTATGAAAAACAATGATCAAAGGTTGAAAATGCCACATTCTTTCTCATCTATTTTTTTTCTTATTTCCACAAGTTTACTGACTACATTTGATGAACTGAAAACTTATGTATTTAACAATTTGCTATTAATATCAAGATATCTTTCTAAATTGATATAGGGGTTTGATATTAGAATAATAGGAAATTTGTTTCAAAATTAACTTATAAACGATATCTCTCCTCTGCATATCTTCCTTAAAATACATGTAAAGCCAGAAAAGCAAAAATATTCAAGAAAGAGGAAAATGTAAAAACTGTAAGATATTATCTTTGGTGACATGTTATGCACCTATTTGTTATTTCACCATTTACTGACTTGCAGGAGATGACAAAATATGTGTCTAGTGTGGGTTCCTGAGCCTTACCTGGCATTTCATATAGCATTGGAAGTTTGTGATGGAACTGCCCAGTCTGGCCCAATTTTATGTGACCAGATATGTATATTTGGTCTATACAAAAAGGACTCTTTTTCCTAATCAATGATGTATTTAAGAAAGATTCAAATATATGGCCAGAGGATTTTTCCCCAGGGTATGTTTTTTAAAAAGAGAGAGAGAGAGACTAGCATCAGAAATTGGCAAATTAGAGATCTTCAAAGCATAACACTTTTTTTCTGTGTACTTGATATATAAAAAATGAAGTGAAATTCTATCTTATTGCAATAAATTATAATAAATTAACTTTGCTTGATTAAGCTTTGGTGATATTTTTAGGAACTCAATGATGTGGAATTTCTACCAAGGTTCATGTCAGAAGCCCTCATTGCCATATCCAAGACTCTTCAACTCCAAAACAGTATGTTCCATGGAGCTTCTTAATATCTTGCTTGTGGGTATCTCTGATCATAGTAGTGGGATGAGGTTCACCTTGGGTCTGACCTATGATTTGCTCTTTGTTGTGCTCTCAAATGCTAAATTAATTTTGTCTCCTAGGAAATTAGATCTCTTTTAAGGATCATGTGATTATGTGACCAGATGTGAAATATGAGATCTGTTCTTCAAGTCAGTCCTAGGGACCTGGGGAATTCAGGTTTCTCCTTAGAATGGCATCCTTTGGATGCATTTTGTCTTTGTCACTTATCAAAAACCTGATGAAAACTGTTCCTATGCTTGTCTTATTTTGTCCATGAGAGTCTAGTTCTAGACCGGAGTAGACTAGACCAAACCTGTCATCTGCTGGGAAATGCATATTTCTCAGGTTGTAATGGTAAGCAGCCCAACATTTCGGTTGAGGAGACACAAGGTATGAGATGTGCAAGCAATATGTTCAACTGTTTTTTGCCTAGAATATGACCTCTTTTCAGAGGTAAAATCAGCCCTGACAGCAGAACTTAATCACACTCACCAAAGCTTGACAGTTACCAAGTGATAATCATAGTTAATATATACACTGATACGCAGTATGCCTTTGGAGCTGTCCATAGTTTGGGAATGCTGTAAAAATGAGAGACTTTCCTCTGTAGAAATCTCAATTTAAAATGATCAACCCATTTAACTTTTAAGCGTTTTAATGCTTTCTACAAAAGTGACAATAAATGTGGATCCATACAAAAAGGCAGAACATTGAGGCTAAATTAAGAAGTGCCCTACCTGATGACTAATTATATTTGACAGGCAGCCCTCAGTAAAATAGTGGTCCATTTAGAACCCCAAGAAGCTAATTATTTAGACAGATTCAAAGAGGCCACTATAAAATGCCAGCAATTGGCTCCCAATTTTAAGGCGTTATTCAGAAAAAATCTGGTAGGAAATTGCACAAGGATGATGTGTAACCCTGTACGTCTTTCAGAACAAGTGCTCTGTGATGCCAGACATCACAAAGATATTCCCACAGAGAGAACTCAGTGGCCAGTATACTCAAGCAACCATTGATGGGAAACAATTATAGAAGTGGTGAGGGGTCTTTTGTGCATGTCTTAAAATATTAAGTGTTCTTGTTGTCAGTATTTGTCAAATATTGACAATTTTGTTGTCAAAATTACAATATCGTGTAATCAGAGTTCCAGATAAAACCAAATGAGGCTATCAACACTGGTACATTTTAGATAGAACTTGAAGATGTATTATTGTCTCATACAGCTCAGTGTGGGAATGCACAATGGGAAAAAGAAAAGAAAGAAAATATATAAAGTGTATATTTTTATTAAACTAATTAAAATTTTATATGTGTACACTCATAATTTAAAAGTTAAGACATAATTAAAAAAAAATCTGTCCTCAGTCACACTCCCATATGCTCCTGATTCCTTCTCCCAGAGGAAATGACATTCTGTTCTTTTCAGACTTTGTCTCCATATTTTAAATGATAAAATTTTATTGTTCTTTTAAAACATTTTTAGTTTAAATATCAAAATATTTAGCTAAAGAAATTAACTCTTTTATATGCACCCATTCCGCCCCCCCCCCCGTTTTTCTCTCTTCCCATCTTCTGAGTGTAGTTCTGTCACAGTTGATTAAATCAATATTTAGTTTCTACATTATTACTATCTTTTAAATATGATTCTTGGCTGGGCAATTTATTGTGCTCATATTTTTTCTTGTCTTTTTAAAATTTTTCTAAATTTTTCGTGTACCTATGACATTCATTCCCAAATATTCGGGCAGCGCTTCAATATCCTCTCCCTATATTTAAACAGCATTTTTTTTTGGTTTCTTTGTTTCTTTTTCTTTTTTTCCTTTTTGATACTTCTTAGAGACCCCCATCCTTCTGCTCCAATTTACACTGGTTGCTTTCTATCCTACTTCACAACTGGAGTCCTGAGGTTTCCCTTCTTAACCATCCTGGGAATCCCCTTTACATTTTTCCTTTGTTGGATGTTCTGTGTCCTGGATATGTTTTATTTTTTTCTTGGTTTATCCTCTGCTGGAGCATATATCTTACAGGAGCTTCTTCTTCTTTTTTTTTTTTTTTTAAGATTTTATTTATTTATTTGACAGAGAGAGACACAGCAGGAGAGAGAACACAAGCAGGGGGAGTGTGAGAGGGAGAAGCAGGCTTCCCGCTGAGCAGGGAGCCCGATGCGGGGCTCGATGCAGGGCTCGATGCAGGGCTCGATGCAGGGCTCGATCCCAGGAGCCTGGGATCATGACCTGAGCCGAAGGCAGACACTTAATGAGTGAGCCACCCAGGCGCCCCTTACAGGAGCTTCTTGAGAAGGGTTGTAACTTTACTAGTGCCATCAATTTTTGAGATGTTCTGATGTTCATCTTCTTACTGGTTCCCCTTCCTTAACTTTTAGTTTTCTCTAATGATGATGTCAGTTACTATCCACCCTTCTCCTTTTTAACTTCCAAAATTTTGTTACATCTCTTACCTGCTGAGGTTTCCTATCCTATTTTATTTATCCTTCTACGTCTATGCATATTTTATTCTTCTCCTGTCATTTTAGTGGGGTTTTAGGAGGGAGTAGATAGCAGCATATTTGTTCAATATACTACATCAAACAGAGATCTCTCATCAAAGTTTTAGTTACCAAAAATTCTAGAATGACTAATACAATGTCTATGAGGTAAAGGGCAGAGGAAGCTCAAGAGAAAAAAGTTATTCAAGTGGCCAGTTGATGCATTAAATTGCTACTGCCAGATGGAGATTATGCATTTCTCACTGTTAAGTATATTATGGGCTTTTTTTTTTTTTTTTTTTGGCCTTACTTCATTTTAAGCTTCACTAAACAATATGGACACTAGATGGCTCTATAAAAGCACATATATTCAGAATATTCCATTTGGTTCAAGAATTTGAAGGCGTCATAAAATCTTTGATAACAAATGAAAATTATTTTTAGTTTTAAGAAAATGAGTTTAAAACCACCACTAGCTATTAAAGAGTGAATTCAGAAATTTGTAAATTTTCTAAGTGGCATTTGTTACCAATAAATATTTGTCAAATATCTGCCAAATGCCAGGTACTATGAGAAGTAATGGGGCTCTGGGGATACGTAAGATAGACATGGCCTTGTCCATAAGGAATTTACTGGCAACAAAAATTCAGAAATGAAATAAATAATTACAAATGATAAATTAAACAATTTCAAATATGCAAAATTTTGTGAAAAAGTATAAGACGCTATTTGGAATATATATCAGTTTACCTAACTTAGACTGGGTCAAGGAAGGCTTTGCTGAGAAGGTGAGGCTCAAGCTGAAGTCTGAAGGATGAATAGACTGTTAAAGCAGTTGGCTGAAAGATGTGTTTTCTAGCAGAGGAATGGCATAATTAAGGCCCCAACGACAGGGGAGAGAACACAGAATGTGGCCAAGCTGCCACTTCAGGAGCAGAAGTGGGCAGGGGGAGAGTGGGACAAGATGAAGCTGGGGAGATCCACAGAGGAAAATTATGTAAGGTCCTGGATTTCATACTGAGTCTAGGAGAGGCGAGAAGCCATGAAGTGTTCTAAGCACACTAATCATATGACTGAATTTACATTTTTAACAGATAACTCTTGTTACCCTGTGCAACATAATATGGATTCAATTTTGTAAAGTTTCCAACTTTTCTCAAGTTGTTCAAATCACTGGATTGATAATGGTCACCAAGAATAACTGAAATCAGTGTATAGGAGCAGTGGCTTTGAGGATCTAACCTAGAGGACAGATGTTCCCAAAATGAAACAATCAAAGGAAACTTTAGAAGAGAAATATGTATGAATGTATGAATATATAATGTATGTGTATATATATATATAGAGAGAGAGAACCTCAGATAAATGGTCACAGTCAATATGACCTATATTATAGTGATTTTATTTTTTCTGCTATTACTTTATCTTCCACTGATACTTGGTTTGGATTATATCATGAAGTGTGAAGGGACAGATATTGAGTTACACAGACATAACTTTGCCTACTTTGGGTCACTTCTTTTATATTATGAGTGACCTAATATTGTCCTCTGCTGTGTGTTTGTACTAGTTTAGCCTTTATCCTTTGAGCCTTCATGGGGTCTAATTGAACAGCCCAAGCATTAAGAACACATTATAGAATTTTCATAGAATTTTTAGAGTCGGAAACGATATTAGTGATCATATTTTTGTGTGTTTCACACTGTTTTGTGGAATCTTAAGTAGTTCCTTTAGGGTGTCTCAGGATTTCCTGGGAAGTAGATGAAGGTTCAAGCTGGCAATGCTCTGCCCATCCTTCCCCTTTAACTGGAGAAGCCCTGCTTATCTGTTGAACTTTTGTGCAATATTTTCTTTGAAGAGAGCTTTGTGTCATTGCAAAGTTGGGAAAGCTCTGATCTTGTCCAAATACTCATTTTCATGGGTGGACACTGAGGACAAGTGTTGTAAACAGATTTTTCCAGGTCCTAATGAAAGAAATAAGATGTGGCCTTAGACATCTAGTGCAAGAAAATCACTAATTTTATTCCCTACACGAATATGCTGGTGTGTAAATTAATTTATGTGAGTTGTTTTAAAGAGAAAGCCCAGCTATTTTAAAAATAGAGTTCCCAGAGAAGACTGAAATTAAGAGTTATACAGTGGGCTCATGAAAGAAAAAAAACATTGTACCAGTGTGTGCTAAAGTAGTTTTCTTTTTTAAATTGTACTGCTTTGTTTAGGTCTATGATTAGGTATAATAGCATTTACCATAGTCCCTTACAGGTAAATGGATGTCCAATTTTTTTTTCTGGTTCTTTTTAGAAGTATTTAGAAGGAAGATGCACAGGAATTAGTAGAGAAGAAGTAGCAAAATATTTCTCAGTTAAGAATTGGCAAAAGAGGGGCGCCTGGGTGGCTCAGTCGTTAAGCGTCTGCCTTTGGCTCAGGTCATGATCCCAGGGTCCTGGGATCGAGCCCCGCATCGGGCTCCCTGCTCGGCGGGAAGCCTGCTTCTCCCTCTCCCACTCCCCCTGCTTGTGTTCCTGCTCTCGCTAACTCTTAAAATCTTAAAAAAAAAAAAAAAAGAATTGGCAAAAGAATTAAGTGTAGCCCCCAGTTAGTGCACTGTATCATTTTAAAGTCACAATGTGAATATAAGGACATCGCTACCATTTTCAGGTCAGTAAGACCTAAAGATTCAAATGCTGGAATAACAGGACAAATACTCATTTTTTTTTTTTCTAGGAGAAAACGGATTTCTTTTTGGTAGTTTTAAGAGTCTGGTTAAGAGTATCATGAAATTATCAGTGGAGATATCCTGTGCGTAGGAGTGATAATCACAGTATTTAACCATGATGGGATGTGGACTTAAAACAATCAGAAAGGTTGCTGACAATTGGGCTTCATTTAATATTTATATGAGCAAGGTTTGGGGGATCCCCTGCCATGTCAGATATTATCCTTCAGTAATAGGATTGGCTAGGAGGAATGGATGAGGAACTTAGGGTAGTAACCATTTACTAGTAGAATAAAAATATTTCAATGTACTGGTGTGTTC